CCTGTTTGCACCGTCGTGTTGATATCCCACAAGGAACTTCTTGAAATCTGCAACCTCTTGTACTAGCTCGGGAATGAATGCTGTCGTTTTTTGGGAGTCCATAAATGCCTTCATTAGATCCGCAAGGACATAGATGTTCTTCGTCTTCAAAAGCTGAGAGAGGTAGCTGAAGTGCGCATCAATGTCCTCGTGTGTGTGGCCGACTATTAGGAATCCAACCGTCACTTCCTGGAAGATCTTTTTTGCTGTGAGCAATGAGCAGAAAGCCATGACATACCGGTTCTTGTTATCTTTGGCCGAATTGTCAAGCTGAAGGAATAGCTTCTTTGGCAAGGGAACAGCCGGCCTTCCAGGAGGCGGCCGGTGAACCCGGTTGCCAGAGCCTGTAGGAATAGAGGTCGTGCATCTTGACTTCCTGTAGAGGAGTGCCTCAAAGAACGAGTTCTGTGGCGGCGTTGTGAAGAGCTCCTTTGAATCCTTGACGGGGGGGGGGGGGGGGGGTCTTTCTTGAGCTCTTAGATCCCGGCTAATTGAGGAGATGGTAAAATTCGAGTCACTAGGCCAGAACGCACTGGAGTAGTGGGCGTAGGAGCCATCACCGTAGCCATGCGTGAGCATACCCGTCACTGAGATGGGGATCTGTCCGAGTCCAGATGTTGCCTTCGTATTTCGCAGCATCCGAGGAATTGCGGACTTCATGTGATCCATCTTGTCGTGAATAAAGCACAAGAACTCCGTGGGGCTCTCTACAGAGCTCGAGCTCCATCCATGGTAGAGACGACGACAAGCATTTTGGTAGTTGATATGCCTAGTTCTGTCCTTTACCAACGTCGCCCATTCTTCGGAACCTCGGGGATATCTCAATATGCAATCCTGAAGAAAGTCGCACTCGGTACACCTTGAGAAATTGCTGCTAGGTGCCTTCACTTCCACGTTCTTGAAATCCTTGTTTTTCATTACGTTCACTTTAGACTGGGAGACGGGCTTAACAAAACATTGTGCGCTTTGCTACACAAGATACGGAGAATGAAGTGGCAGATTAGAAAACATGTCGGCGGTCCGCCGACACAATAATTGAAGACCCAGAATACGAATTCAAAGCTCTAGACTATCATGATTGAAAAAAGAGAGAACTGAACAGCTACAGTGGCTCACCAAGTTGCTCATGTCCCGCACATGATTCCAGTTGAGTGAAGACGGCAGCACAAGGAGGTTATTTACTCGTTTCTTGCCAATATTTCTGAACTCATTGGGCATGCAGTCCGCATTGTCGTTGATTATAGTCATGATGTTCGCCTCGGCTTGAATTGTGTGCGGTCGCGGCCGAGCAATTCCTGTGTTCCCATGGGTTCCGGTCACCCATCCTCCAATCGCGACAGTTTTGTACGCATGGTATGCCGCTCTAGAAATGCCATGTATTATGTACCACGCATTCTCACAGACCTCGCGGTTACTGAACGTGATGAACTTCTTCCGTCTCCCAGGCAGCGAGTGTAGTTGACCCTGGACTGCATATGCAATCTCTCTGCGGGCCTCAATTGTACTTGAATGAAACTTACGCCTCAGTGCCAACGTGTCATCCCAATTGAATGTCTGACAGCATCTGTATTTGCAGCATCACATCGAGCTGACCCTTTGAACATCCGGGTGTGTTGTCTTTCTCTTCAGTTTTGATTCGCAGGTTCCGGTGAGCTTGCGTCGCTTGATATGACGGTAGGAATTCTTGGGCACTCCCTCGAGTCCAGAATCTTCACCAGAGGACCCCGCATGCTCAGAGCACCAGGTTACAATCTCTGAGAGGAGTCGACCCCCTTCCAGTCTTACCTGTGTTAGAGGCCACCGGAATGATGTCATCTGCATGTCGCCTTCCAATAAGAACATGATCCCCACATGAGTGTCTTCAAGGTTATCCTCATCGAATGGTTCGTCCGACAAACACACTACGATTCGGGCCTTTCCAAAGAAGCTAAGATCCTCGTTCAGAAGGTCGCATTGCTTGCCTCTCCAAAGTGGGCGGTCCGGGTAAGACATGTTGGCGATGCCCTCTCTACCATCGCCCTGACAGCCCTCACCGATTGCATCTAGTCGGTTGGCTAGGCCTTCTTCCATAACCGTTGGACTGCATGTCTCATCCTTCAACTTATTAGGTACGAGGTGAGGCATTGCTGTCGGTGGGCCGCCGATATCCCCCCCTTCGACTACGTGCCCTATGGGCGGTCCAAGTGGCTCAGTAGGTCGGGCTTTATATCCACTCCATAGCACCCTATGATTCTCCGCATCGCCCAAAGTAGAAACAGATGGCTCCTCGCAGTATGCTGTATGCCCTCTATACTCGGAATTCACGCTTGTGAGATTTACAATCACAAAGAAGCTGTGGGGAACAAGATATCCACACCACACACCTTTAGGTGAGCATTCATCAATGATGCCAAAACCAGTACATCGCGTCCCCGTCTCGTCAGTCACAAGCAAAGTGACTTCCATCTCCTCCAACGTTAGGAACTGGCCGATGGGCTTCTCATCCTCAAGAACAGGTATCGGGGGGCCGCCGACACACCATTCTGGAAGCATTTCATGTCGACATATGGTCGGAGGTACTGAGCCTTCCACGTTACTTCTTCCCCAATACAGTCGCGCAGCAACTGAAAGCCTCGTTCCGGGAACGGGAGTTTCATGAGATGAATGGATGGTGATGATTCAAGTACAAGGACTCGGTCAAGAATTGGATCCCTGCAAGTTACTTTAACGACGATCCCACGTCCTGCAAAGTAGAAGCCAACGAATGTAAGCGCCACCGTCGTTCCGTGGCGAAGCTTCCTCCTGCCGGAAGGGCCATTTTTGGTGAATGCTTCAACGGATGCAGTATCCCTTTCTTACCAATCCCGATGGCCAAAAATTTGCACACTGCGTCGACCGCAACCCCCACCTCCTATCGTCGTGTCGGCGGGCCGCCGACACAAAGACGTCAAAATGCTATTGTTCAGCTGTATCGGCGGGCCGCCAACACAAAGACGTCGAAATGCTATTGTTCGGCGGTATCGGCGGCCCGTCGATACAAAGGGAATAAGGAATATCTTCAAAACGGTTAGATCAAAAATGGCATCCGCCGAGACTGATAATGCATCCTTTGTTTCACTGAGTAGAAAAGATATTATGTCACTTTACTTGAGTATATGTATTCTTATTTAAAATTATTCTCTGAGTACAACAACAATGAATTTTACCTTAGAAGTGGATTGCAAGGTTCAGGATTTAGGTTATTGCGAAATCCTGCAAACCCTCTGAATGCTATAGTCTAAACCCTAAACCTTGTCATGGAGAACGGTTTCAACCCTAAACCCTGAATCCTAAACTCTAAACCCTAAACTTCTTATGGAGAACTCCGTGGGAGACAATGTAATTTCTGTGGTCACTCTGAATGTAACACTTGAGGAATAGTATTCAACAATGCTGTTCTCTTGATTTCAATATTTACAGATTTATTTTAGACATTTCGACTTTGGGGAGAATACAAAACATGTGTAGTACATTTGATTAATTGTTCTTCAAATGGAGACAGATTGCTCTTCTCGATTTGTTTGCTCTATGCATCTTTTGTGAGAGGATAAAGTAAATAACCAATGATTAAAACTTAGGAAACATAATGGATGGAAATTGTTTTATCAAGTATCTTTGACTTCACATGTAGTTCCGTAGTTCCGTAGGAGAAGAAGTCTAATTAAAACAAACGGTGTAGGGTATAGGCATTTTAGTTTGCAATATGGGATTTTCTTAAGTTCAAGATGGATCCTTCATCCATAAAGTCATATTGGTAAATTTTTTTTTGTCCATAATTAGTTAAATATCACATATGGACACTTGAAAGTAAAGTCTTTAATTTGTACATATTTTCACCTTCTAATGAATACAAGGACTTTCAGAGAGCTTTTAGGGGTCGAAAAGTGTGATTTGAAAGCATACATTGTATAGAAAGGAATAATTGTTAAGTTTGGATAAAGAACCAAAGAAAGAAGGCTAATTGAAATCAGTGTACTAAAATTGAAGGTTTGTAAGTGAATTCCTTTTATGGAGAAATTTCCAAAGATGTTGAAAGTTGTGGTTTATATTGTAAAGAATCTCCTTGTAAGTTTTTGTGCCACTTAGGTATTAGATCTATGAATCTGAATTATTGTGCTGTCCAGTGTTGAAGAATATGAGAAAACCAAACCGAATTTTTGGTTCGACCTAGGACCAAGAGGGAAAATCAAGTAATTCGAATTCAGGACGCTCTTAATATGCTCGGTTGACATAGTATTGTACATCATTGATATTGATATCTTTGAATATAAGATACTTAAAAATCCGTAATGATTTGAAAAATATGAAGGAGTCCTTTGAATTGAAATATCAGAGTAAAAAATTAATGCGGTTTTATCACATATCATGGTACCATTGAGCATTGAGTTATATATTATGGTACCACTGAATTACGTTATGGAAGATAAAATTAACTTATATCCTCTGATTGGATGCTGTATATTCCACGCTAAATTGATTCAATGACATTTAAGAACAGTAATTTGCCGTTTTCACCTCATGAGAGCATTAGAATCAAATATATGAAAACATCTAATCTTAGAAGATGCATCAACTCCTTCAAATGATAAGATAATAAAGACATCATGGGTTGACATATTTGCAGAATACACACATCAGTGAGTGCAACTATTATTATTACTGCAGTTTGCACATGAAGATTTCATAACCAAGGAGAAAGACAAACTAGCCTAGATAATTGAACAATAATCTGCACGGTGTGAAATGTTACGAAAGTAAGTGGTCTGTCCTCAGATGACTGCGCGCTTCGCCAAAAATATTAATATTATAGCATAACCGCATTGAATGAAGACTCCGTGCCTGCACAGGGCTGAGAATGTAATCATTTATGAAATTTCAGCCTCAACAGAACCTATAGAACTTTAAGGGAGTGAAGGACATAAAATCATGATATGAGAGGTGGACGTTGGCTGCCTGAAGTTGATGTAGACGTAAATGTCCACAGGTGGTTCCGGCAGGATTTGATGCTCCACAACATGATGGCGTATAGTTAAGTGTCCTTAGTCCTATAGTTGCCTTCCTAACCTCCCTCCTCCTGCCTTCACAGTGTTATTGTGCTGGTCCATCTTCTATTCTTTTGTGTCGCCGGAGTTTGAGCGTCATTCACCCTCGTCGGAGCTGAGTTTCACTCTTTGCTTGCATTGAGCGCTGAAGAATGTCGGTTTTCCAAGTGCTGCAGTGTGTGTGAACCGTGTAGTAATCTACCGCAAGCCTACTTGGATTGCGAGGTTGGTGTGCTTTGTTGCGGAAGGTTGGTTGTGGGCTTGCCGAAGTTGTCACCTTTTGCTTCAGTTCCATCGTCTTTCCGGCGACGGCTAGGTTTCCTCTCGTTATACCGGGTTCATAGGTTGCATCTCATTCCTTCAAGTGTAGTGTCGTGCGCGGCCCTGCTTTCGGAGCTCTTCTTCGCCGGAACTCCTGGTGTACGGTAATCAAACAGCGTGCCGGGTCCTTCCAAGTAGCCGCCGACAACAAAGACCGCTCCGCTAAAAGAGACTGCTTGGAGGAGCACAACAGCATCATCTCCGCCGACATCCAATACGCGGCCGCCGACACCCGAAACCGGAAATGTAAGTACTCTACACCCAGTATCGGTGGGCCGTCGATACTGACCTATTACCTAAGTTGGTTGTCTGAGTACATGCTCCTTAGTGCGTTCCGGCGAGGGCTTTGAAAAGAACACTGGGATGTTCACTTGGTATCGGCGGCCCGCCGATACCAGAGTACTGTCTCTTACCTTAATTAGGGAAAGTGAGTCGGAACCCGATTTCCTGGATTGGGTTTCTGAGTGACCAAACTTGTAAGATTAAAAGAAAGATAGATTATCACATCATGCGGTAATGGTGTATCGGCGGCCCGCCAATACCCATAACGTGGACTCATATATTCCTCTGTCACGATATTTATACGTAGGGGTTTGCAAACTATCGGTTGGCCGCCGATAGCATCATTCGGGAATAACGGAGTGATGTCAAATTGAATGTTTTCTTCCAGGAATACGAAGAAGCCCGTCGGGGCTAAGTGGCTCCTAGGAGAGGAATATTAAACAGACGTGGACATCGAGTATGGAGGGGCGAAGCTGCGAGGAACATGGCTTGGGAGTTCCAATATCAGACGATCGGAATCACATGGAGGCAGAGCTCGCCCAACACCATGGCAACACTGGGGATAAATGCCGAGGTCCCTTCCCTTATGGTGTCGCATGGCATGACACTTCTCAATCTGAAGTCCGTGGAGGACGACGTCGTGCCGAACGCTGTTGCAGCCCTCCTTGAGGTATACCCAGTGAGAGTAGGTGAAGGAGAGGACGACTACATCGCAGTGGTGTTGGATGCCAGTTTATGCCACCACGAGTTGTGCCTTGGAGAGCACGATAAAGACGTCCAGTTCTCGAACGGGTTCGCAGAAGAACAAGAGGATGTTCTGGACGCATTTCTGACGGTGGAGGCGGAACGAGATAGAGTGAACGCCGCATACGGTGAGGAGCACAAACCGAAGGCGTCAAGACAGAGTCGCGGGAAAAAGAGCGACGTGGCTGTAGTGACGCAGGACACAGGATTTACGGGGGGCGTGGACGAAACAGCCGCCAGAGGAGAGTCCTCCCGTCCAAGAATGAAGAAAAGAAGCAGCGCTGCTAGTGCTGAGCCCGATAGCTCCAGATCTCGATAGGATCCAAAGAAACTCTCTGTGGCGGATGCCATCTTGCAAGCCAACAACCTGACGTCTAAGACAAAGCCTGCAGTCATCGAGGCCATGTACAAGTTGCCAGAGGAAGGCCTGGGCGAATGCTTTCCATACGGTCAGGACCCTCTACCTTACAAAATAAGCGCGGAGAGAATCCAGCTGGTGCCTGACTCTCTCAAGTACTGAGTGTTTGTCAAGAAGATGAAGGACCAGGTGCAATTGGAGCGTGAAGCCCTCGGCGTGATCAGGCGGAAGCTAGAGCTCTACTGCATTCCTGTGAGCAAGAGGCCAGTGATGGGTGGAGGACCTCAGGAAGAGGGACCATCCTTGATCCTAGACCGTATGCCAGGGAAAGACGAGATGTGGCTCGTGGACGACCAACGCGTTCCGTGGTGGCAGACGGATGTGCACTGGTACGTGGTTGGCGGGCAGCACACATTCCAAGCATGCGTCACAATCGCGGCAAAGGAGGTGCGCGGATCCAGCAGGCACAAATTCTACACGGAGTTCGACGTCGTCCCCGTGTACTCAAAGGATCTGGAGATGCTGATCAAAGTGTCAAACGCCCTGAACATCCAAGTGAAGGACAAGGTTGTCACAGAAAACTTCCGATCCCAGTTGAAGAATGCAAGAGCGAAATGGATCAAGAAAGGTCGCCCAGCTCCAAAGAAAGGCGGTGCAAAGCACGACGCCGACTTCAAAGTACATATATGATCTTCTCCCCTGTTTCAATTCATTCTGGACTGCGGAATTGGACTCGTAAAGCTTGCCTTGACTGAGTATTGGCAGGCCGCCGATACTCTTCACAATTCATACAGGCTTTGGATATCGAAGTACATGTAAGTCACTCTTCATCGGCGGGCTGCCCATAATCTCTGCGCTTGATTCAGGCTTCTGAAACTGAAGTATTTGTTAGTTACTCTGTATCGGCTGGCCGCTGATACTCTCTGCGCTCCATGCAGGCTTATGAAATTAAAGTAATTGTAAGACACTCTGTATAGGCGGGCTGCCGATATAGAGTGACCTTCTTGCAGGCTTCTGAAACTGAAGTTATCCTTCAAAGGAGCGCCAACTACCTGGAGAGTGGTGGAAGATTTACATGTTGTTGCAACATGATGTGGAACATGCTAATGTTGCAATGCTGGATGACCCCTTGAGTTTGTCCAAAGCTATGCGATTGGAGGATGCAAGCAAGTGGGAGGCGCCTATGCTTGAGGAGTATGGCTTACTCATGTCCAATAGAACATAGTAGTATGGCTTACTCATGTCCAATAGAACATGGTAGTTGACTCCCTTCAAAAGGTCCGCAATAACGTTGGATGCAAGTAGATGTGGATGCAAGTAGATGTTTCGTAGCCAAAGTTGATTTCAAAGAGATTTTTGCTCCCATTAGAAAATTCAGGACCATTCGATGCATGCTTGCGATTAGGACGGAGAAAGATTTAGAGATCTACTAAATAAATGTGAAAACCAAATTCTTGAATGGAAAGTTGGAAGACACCTATATAGTGCAATCTAAGGAATTTGTGCAAGAGGTTATAAAGTACTTCGTGTGCAAGTTCAAGAAATCATTGTAAAGATTCAAGTATTCACTAAGGGCATGGTACCAAAAAAACAATTTGTTCTTCATCAACAAGGGCTTCTTTAGAAGTGAAGTAGATCATTCATTGTATATGAAGCAACTGGATGAGTGATTGTTGATAATAATCATCTATGTGGATAATATGATCACCTTGGCAAGTAGTGTGAGTGCATTAAAGTATGTAAAGTTGAAGCAGATTTAATACTTTAGGAGTTTGAGGGTTTTAGAGTTTAAGGTTACATGAGTGCACTAGAGGTTATTGATCCTATATATCTCTCAATGTATCATAGTTTTTTCCATTTTGAAATTTTGCCAAGCTTTACATTGTCTCAAAGACCTCTGTAAATATGTTTGCTTCTCAAAAATATATGTTTCATTTTTCTCAATTTAGGATTTAGGGACCTTATTTGGATCTGAAGATCCTAATTTGGAATCCGAATTTTATATTTGTTATCATAAAAGAACTGTGTATAGAATTGGAATGCGTACCAAATTTTGCTTAGCCAAAACAAATCTTGATACATGGGTTGTTCACCTATTGTAGGTTCGGCATTGCCCCCAGATTTGCTCGCTCTCCACCTGTTGCATCATTGGCTTCCCGTCCTCGTTCTCCTCCACCTTCCATCACATCTTCTGATTCCACCATCCGGACACCTTCATCGGCGTCCCACGTACGCTCTATGAGAACAGATACAACGACGATGGTGCCATCGTGTACTATTGCTGCAGCCACTGCGTAGTCAATGTCAAACGTGCACTTCAAATCTCTATCATCAATTTTTGAGTGCACTCTCTAGCAACGTCGTGGTCAATCCCGAGTGCATCTCCAAGTACAACTTCAAATGCTCTCTCGTGCTTAATCTCGATAGAGTTGGCATTGAGTTCAAACGATTCAAATGCCATCCATGTACTGGCACCATCGACGATTGCCTGTGTTTGTCCAACCCCTAAGCTCGCACCACTTGCTATGGCATTGCTTACAATGACATCCCAGATTGCGACCATTGCATCTCTTTATATCCTACCTCTTTAATGCCCTGCATTCCATCATACCTTACCTCTTTCAATACCCTCCAACTTACCCTACATCCCATGATACCTTGCTTCATAAGATATCTTACATCTCTTGATACCTTGCCTTTCTTAATACTTCGGCTCTATATATGCCCTCCCTTCCTTGATACCCTACCTCTCTGAATATTCTTGTTTCTTCATCTAATCCAAACACCCCTCATAGACTTCAATTCATACTCAAAACAAATGTAAACTGTCACCCTCAAAATAGGAAGAAGAAGGTGACTCGTAAACACTCATGTAGAATGATCACAAATAAACATGTAGAATGATTAGTCAATGTATGGCTCTACTTAAGTCACACAGTAGAATGATCACAAACAAGATCTCAAGAATCACATTATTAAAAATATAATGTAAGACAAAGGAAATTGTCATCATTGAAAATATAATATAATATAAGACAAAGGAAATTGTGAACATTTCAAGGGGGAATGCATACCTAGTATCTAAGATATGAGCCATTCATCCTCCTCTAACTGCCTAGTGTTAATCTATTCAACTCAATCCTCTTCCTCCTCCAACTCTTTAGTGCTGTGCTATTCATCTCAATCCCCCTCTTCCTCCAACTCCCTAGTGCTGTGCTATTCATCTCAATCTCCCTCTTCCTCTTCCTCCAACTCCCTAGTGTTGTGCTATTCATCTCAATCCCTTATTGCTCACAACCGCCAATGCAACTACCTATACTCAATATGCAATCACTCCTTCCTTGCGCAGTTGCTCCTCTCACAGGGCGTTCCCATGATCCAGGTTCTCCATCCATGGTGTGTGGGATTAGCGTAAAACAACGCCATGCCGCGCCTCTCTCCTCCTCAGGCCATTGCAGTCACTTCTTACGCAACGCACATGCATACACCAGGATCCAAGAGAAATGCCTCATGGTGTTTGTACCCTTCTGCCTCCACGTTCGTAATATATCGGGCCTCTTTCTTCCCTCTCCTCCCCTCCCCTCCCTACGCCTCTCTCCTCCTCAAATCATTGTAAATATTCCTTGCGGGGGGTGCATGCATGCACTGCGACTCAAGATAGATACCTTGCAATGCCTGTTTAATTCACATTGCTTCCTCTTTCATGACGTGAATCTCGATCCTGCGTCACTGCTTGTGTGGGGTGCATGTGTGCACTGCGATGTAAGATGAACAACCCTCGATACTCGCCCTTTCTTGCCTCTCCATCCATGGTGCGTAGAATTGGCATGGAACACTGTCATGCCGCACCTCTTCTCCCTTAATACCATGGTGCCCTCCCCCGACTCCTTGCTGCTATACTTATCTCGATCTTCTACTGCTTGTGACCGCCAAAATATCCGATTTTATTTAGTCTGCAACCACAATCCAAGATAAATGCTTCGTGGCACCCATCTCCTTCCGCCTCAAATTGGCATGGAATAAAGCCGTGCCGCACCTCTTTCCTCCTTAGACCACTGCAGTCACTCATCGCATAGGGCGCATGCGTGCACCATGATCCAAGATAAATGCCCTATAACGATTCTTTCAATCCGTCTCTCCATGCATGGAATAGCACCATGCTGCGCCTCTCTCCTCCTTACACTGCTGTAGTCACTCCTCTTGTTGCGCGCATATACGTACTATAATCCACAAGAAATGTCCTATTGCGCTCGTTCCCTTCCGCCTCTCCGTCCATGATTTGTTGAGTCTCTTTCTCCTCCACTCCCTCCCTTTCACCTAGACTGCTAATTCAGACTACTTCCCTTCGCATGACTTGAACCTTGACAGTGAGGACGACAAGCAAGATAAGGACCAACTACGAGAAAGGGGGACTGCAAGAAAGGGGGACTTTGAGAAAGGAAGACTGCTATGAATTGGAAGTCATATGCATGGTCCCCCAATTCTCTCAGACTAAAGTGGACGATGTGAGAAAGGGGGATTGCTTTGAATTGGACATCACATGCATGGTCGCTCAATTCTCTCAGACTTAACTGGACAATGTGAGAAAGGGGAACTACTCTGAATTGGACGTTACATGCATGGTTGTCCAATTCTCTCAGATTGAATTGCACGATGTGAGAAAGGGGGACTATTCTAAATTGGACGTCACATGCATGGTCGCCTAATTCTCTCAAAGTAAACTAGATGATGTGAGAAAGGGAGACGACTTTGAACTGGACGTCACATGCATGGTCGTTCAGTTCTCTCAGATTGAACTGGATGATGGTGTACATAGGTTTCCCAATTTGTCTAGCTAGTCTCGAATGCAAGTCATACTAAAATAATGTAGCACTTTCATACTATGTGCTGATAGTCCATCTTTCCTGGTGAAACAAAAAAAGAGATCACCTCACTACTTACTGTCCCAGTGTGGTGCCTTGGCCGCAAGTTGATCTACTTGTCACATCTTGTTTGTAGGTCAGTCTTCAATACTCGAAAAACTAAACAATCTTATGTGGAGCCACTTCTTTCAATTTCACGAATTACATGCGTATTTGGGTCCTAAAATTATACCAAATGTTATGTCAGCTCACAAACAGTGGAATTCTTCTTCCAATCATAGGTTATTATTGGAAGAATATTGTGTCCGTTGATGTCCAATCATCGACACGACCTTGATCCTCAACTTTCCTGAGTTACATTTCGAAGGTTACAAAATTGTATCATCCTTTGTTGTGTTTGGTGTGAGAAGCATGCAACATCTTCCTTCATTGCATGTCATGCCAGTAGGTGGATGCTTTCCATTTCAAGATTATTTTCTATCTCCATGATATTAGACTAGAAACTTTTTCACCAAGATATGGTTTTCTAAAGAGTCGAGTTACGGAAATCAATTGGAATTCTAGTGGGAGGACTTGATTCTCATGTTGGCCGGTCTACGTTAGAATAGATTACATCTGGTGTAATCATAGAATCGTATGGTATGATATCTGTTCAACATTGGTCATCTCATTGAGCCTAGTATACAATCCATCGACCTCCGCCAATTGGGAACCATACATACATACATACACACACACACATAGAAATATGTAGAGTTTTAGACACAGGTTGACATATTATGCAGGTGGTGGAATAGACAAGAGTTGACCTAATAAAGAACATATGAAGCGATGTAATGTCCCTCTGTCTCAAGCTCCTATTTCAACCTAAAATACAACAAAGGAACACAATTACTCACTATAGAAACTACACACAAAAACAAAAAACAAAAACAATTGAAAGTGCTCCAAGAATGATTCAACTTGACTTCGAAAGAAAAAACAGATCAACACAAGGCAGCTAAATTTTGATCTAGCACAAGATCATCTCCAATGCTTGAAGTTCTAGCTTAGAGTCTGGCTCACCTCGCCTTACATCACAACTTCACCTTTCACTAGACTAGGGTTTAGGATTTAGAATTTAGGGGTTCTGCAATACTCGCAAATTGTGAAGCTCAGTTCACAATTGCTTTCATGCCTCCACTCATTCTCAATTCCACAATTCAAGATTATTGGCTGTTGAATACCTGAGACTGCAATAGCTTTCATCATTTCATATAAGCCAAGAGAAGCAACATCCCATCATAAATAACTGACACATTCTATACAACACAAAACAAAAAAATACAAACAAAGCCAAATACACAAAATGGACCAACAGCCTGAACAAAGCAACAAAATATATAAAAAAAATGTGTTGTAAAAAACTTAAAAACCTAAAAATGAACAAAAAGTCCACATTCTCCATCAACCCCAAACCTAGTCTAAATCCCAACAACAACAGAAAAAAAAAAAAAAAAAAAAAAAAAAACTGAAATATCTTTCGAGAGACCGCAGGCAAAATCTTGCACAAAATATATTTTTAAATAAATCCACATGCATTCAAGGATGGCAAATACATGTGATAGCTCATGAACTTGAGCAGTGAATCTTG